GGTTTGAGAACAGATCTTTGTTTTGTGGATTTGTTTACACAATCTTTAATTTTGCCAAAAAGAATGTCTGTAGATGTGTTAACGTCACACGTGTGCGTGACATCTGACCAATCACACTCTTTAATGTTTAAGCTCAAAGATGTTTTGTCAATGTAAGTGTTTGTGTTGTGTGACGTGTCCTTAGTGTAGGGGTTGTGACTTATTTGTAGGCAGATACTGTAGTGATCAGTTATGTCCGTCCTCACCACAGCAGTTTGTAAGGCAGTATAATCATTGTGGTTTACAAATATGTGGTCAATATTTGTTTGACTATTTCCTACTACTCTAGTAGGTGTATTTATGCCACATATAAAACCATGTTCGTAAAAAACGTCCAAGTAGCGTTCAGTTTTGTAGTCAGTTTCTAGTAAGTTGGCGTTAGTGTCACCCATGAAGACGTATGTGTTACAGTCATTTTTGTTCTCATAGTAATGTCTAAGAGCGTTAGTAAAGTTGTCTAAGTCGCTGTCATGTGTACGGTACACAGTCAGAACGTTAGATCTAGTTCCTTGATGGACAAAGTCCAAAGTCAGTCCATGCACGTCACCCAGCTCCAGTTCCTTGCATTCACACACATTCACTCTCTCACTCACATACATCAAGACCCCATCATTTTTATTTTTCCCCCTAGTTGTACAATACAATTTATACCCCTCTATGTCCAACCCCGACCCCCCATCCCTACCCAGCCATGTCTCCCCAAGCGCTATGAAATCAAACCTTACATCGATTGACTGTAACATTAATAAAAGTGTATCAAAATTTTTATTATAACTACGAACATTCATGTATAAACATTTGAATGAACTACTTTTAAAAACAGAACTTATGTCCTTAAACCTATCTACTATTGTACAGTCTATCTGCCTATATTGATCGAAAAACAAATTGGAATCATCCATGTCTCCTTATGGGAAAAATATAAACAAATTACTTGTGTGCTATTTAAGATTGAAACAAAACAAAACCCTATTCGCCCCTGAAAAACCCCCTGCTGCGCGCTGCTTTACATTCTATCGTAACGGTTTATAAGCCTATATCTTATAAAATACCTAAATTTCCACCATGTAACTTTGTATATAAAAGTATTACGTATAGGTTGATTGAGACCTCTTGAGATATTACAGTCTAAATCTATTGAGTTACCTATTATTATTAATTTGTACCAACATCACCACCATTAGTCTTAGCCAACAATACTAACAATTTTACAAACAATGTCTAATGTGCTTGCTTTATTATTTATTTTATTATTATTATTATTTATTTTATTATTTATTGTACTTTTTTTGCTTAAGGTGTTAAATTATATTTTCACCACCCAATGATAAATAGTTCATCAAGTAATAGTAGTTTACGCAACGATTGCGTAAAGATAGTTTTAACGACACGATTATAAAATTTAAGGTACGAGCCTTGGCTCGTGCCTTAAAATTTTCTACGAGTGTCATTAACACTATTTACGCGAGTTGCTTACACTACTTTACCTACGACGGTGTTTTAATTACTAAAAATCACTACTCATAACTTCTAAGAGAGGTTATGTTTTTGTTTATAACCTCTCATTGCCACTGACAGTGATGCAACGAAACATTGTATCAAACACTAATTGCACCAATCAACAATTAAATTGGCCTGAACAGCTGATTGGTTGAATTTCTAATCATTACAATTTTGCTTCTCCTCTCTCAATACTTGAACCTCATTGGTCCGTTACCCGTGTTGTTATGAGTAAAACTATGCTGTTATGAAAGTAAAGAATGCTTTTATGAGATACTTTTCAATCCTAAGAACTGTACTGAAACGGCTACTTTAAAAAACGGTCGTAGGTAAAAGTTTTTAAACGATGCATACGGTACGGATTGGATTTTGACGGTAGTTTTCGTATTTTTTACCTAAAAGCAAACCTCTCTACTCTTAAAAATATTTAATCAAAATCATGACTATCATGATTACTATAGTGTTATTTTCATCACATTGAAAGTATAGAGGATCAAAAAATTGCCTAAGAAATGTATTTCTCAACTTTCACACAATGTTGTGCCGAGTAGACAAAAGCGAAATGAACCTTGAGTTAGCAGGTGGAATTTATTGTTTTGTTCTCAGAAAGTAGGAAGATTGTTTTCACTAGAACTGTTTTACAACAAGCGTTAAAATAATTAGATAAGACACTTTCTATCAACACAAAATTTACATACCAAACCTTAATGAGGGTTTCGTTGGACCTTGACTTATTAAGATATAGTTTAAAATTTTGTCATATTCTTATCTCTCTATTTGTCAAAACTTTCAAGTATTGAACATTTGCTTAAATTATATTTTCCCTAGAAATGATTCAACAAAAAGTAACAACATAAATATAATGATAATGCTGGCACATAAAATAATGTCAAGTTATTAAAATCGTTGAATTTGACATACATTAACTCAGCCTTACTTCACTTAGGCTTTGCATAATCCTCTTTGGTTATAAAAGAGTTGTTAAAAGGAACCTTTTACAGTGAGACAGCCGCCTCGCCGAGTGCAATGTCATGGAAGTGACATTTGTCTTTTCAACAGCTCATTTCCTCCCCGTCTGATGTCAAACTTATGTCTATCTATGGTAGAACTTGTCAACGCTAACATTCATTTAACAATTCACATAGGTAGCTTTATAACTTTATACCTTGCGAATATTTCTTAAGTGTTTTTTTTCAGATTAAAGTACTTGTTGTATGTTTAAGTGTTTGAAGAAATGTTCTTCACATAAGGCATATAAAATTTTAATATTAACACGATAATAAGTAAGTCCCATATATACTATATGTATGCTTATACGAAATCCTTTAATAAGGTTGTGGGTAGTAAATATTTGTTATAACACTATTAGTTGTACGTTCCTAAAACATTACTAAAATCATACCTCCACTTTGGTAATAATTCTTTTTACAACTTACAATGCATTTAAAGTGTTTTAACTGAATACACACACGTGCACACATGCACATACAGACACAACATTTTACTCCATTTAGGAATCAACAAACATATAAAATGCATCAACACTAAACCCACCCTCATCATTGAAAAAGTCCATAGATGCAAAACGCGTTTTGTTTTTGACAAGGCGGGATGTTAAAATACAGACATGCAAACCTACATTATTTATGTATATTCCGAGTGAAAGACTGAAACATATTTCCTACAACAGAAATCCAGAGATAAATCAAATTTACGCTGTGAACGCACGAGATCTCTTAGGAATCTAAATCCTTTATTTTGTTTACTTAGCATTATACATAGTTTACACTTTCATTTAGATTGGATTTATTAAAATGGTGGATAATAAATTATATCTAAAACTAATGAATGTTAAAATACTTTAGGAAAATATAGTTATGGTTTTTTTAATTGAACCCATGGTTGTAGTAGTATTTTTTTCAACTTTAAAACGTTAGTAATAGCAGGGCAATTGCCCTTGAAAGTCCTTAATTAAATTCTTTAAACACTATTTGTGCTTGGCCATGTTGTTTCCTAACTCTGTGGTTCAGAATTCGCACTTAAGCGATTGATCGAAATATATAAAACAAATATGAAAGCTTTCATGGAGATTTTCCTGGATTATAAAAGTACTTCTAATCCAAATTAATAAAAAAACATGGCCACTTGAAGACACAATCAACAAATATTCCACTTTTTAAATATATTGGTTTTACTAATAACCAGGCTGTAGTGCCAAGTTCTGTCTTACTTGGACCATATAGATAAGAGAATGTTGGTTAATGGTAGGACAGATATCTGAAACCAATATGTTACTGGAGAAACAATATTGGGACTCTTCCACCTCACTGCACTGTCAATGTAGTTTGCTTGAGAATGTTTAGCTCAATATAACCTGTAAATGGTCTGATCTTTAAGCTACAATCAAAATATTTTGTATACAAAATAAACAACAATTTCAAAACAAACAATCAATTCCCACATTGACACATACAGGTTGAACAACTATACCGTAACACATTATGCACAATGATAATTTAAACTCTCCATTTTATTGTATTCTTATTGTACATAGAAGTTAAGGGTAAATAATTTTGAACAAAACGAAACGAGGAACATTTCCATCTCCGTTATAACAACAGTGATGTTCATCCGAGGTAATCCATTATCTTTATCTTTCATCAAAACAATACAGTTTACAATTGTGATCTCTCATTTCAACATTTATGCTTAAAACCTTAAGTTTGATTATTACTTTGCTTTATGTGGAAATATCATGTAGTTTACCATTAGTGGAAATGGTTGAAAAATTTAGTAATTGAATCATATTGAAATAACCTATAATTATATTTTTGTTTTATTGTAAAACTAGACTGCATACAACATCATTTCGTGGCGTTCTATTTAAGAACAGTTAGTAGATTTGGTAAAAGCCTCTGCTATGGTCTCTATATCTCAAATTCACACTTTAATGATGGTGGTAAATGTATTAGCATTTTTACTTTTAAATGTTTTGTAGTGAAATTATAAAAGAAAATACTTAGGAAAACTATGGTATATGGCTACATTTTAAGAATAGAACCCTACCCATGATTATTGCCCATTAGTAGCTCAAATTGCGTGGTTATAAGGTTGGGTAGGTTGGAAGTTATTACTTACTTACTTAATCCCGTTAACTTCTCCTAGAGCATAGGATCTCCACTTTTCTTCTCAACATGACACTGTTGTTTGTTTTTCTCTTAAACCCATCTTAGTTTTCTCTTTTATCCTTCAGCTTCTCAAGCCACAAATGGTCTGTTTCCACGTGTTTTAGTCTTCCCACTCTCCTGCTCCCAGTTAAGTTGAAAACCAGCTCACGGCAAACTTAACAGCGTGTCTTTAGAGATTATCACTGTAGGCATTCAATCCCTTTCTTACAATAGGCCCAATTACTTCCTTTAACAATTACTCTTTTAAATCACTGACGCATTTATTTGTTTCAGATCCAAGATGCCAACTGAAGTACCAGAACCTGTTCCGAGCTGGTCCTCCTCTAAGATCTCTCAGATTGAGTATTCTGTGTGAATAGCTTCTCCCCGTCTAACTACGATGACTTTCTACCTTTCAACCTTCGCCCTCGTCGTACCTGCTGTCATCACTATAGGATACTCAGCCATAGGTTGGTTTAATTTAAAATAGTATAATTATTGTTTTAATTTTTGTCATGGCTTTAGTTTAAGACTTGTGTTTTAAATTGAGATTACAAACCAGCAGGGAAAAAGAAGTTGAAAATACGATAGAAGAGTAAAACACTAACCTAATCAAAAATTAATAATAATTATAGCTTATAATTCTGGAAACTATCGAAATAAAAAGTAGTATTATCTTTATTTCAAAAAATAATTGCAATTAAACAAATTATCACCCATTTTCGTGTTCTAACATTTGAAATTTGTCCTTAAAGATGCATTTATTTTTAAATAGCAAAAATGAAATAAGTTTTAGGGCTTTTAGATACGTTGAATTTTTAAGTGATTGATTTCATAATACTGTTCAAAGCTCATGATCTTTTTTCATTTTGTCATAGCCTCTAGATCACTATGATTATTACAATGGTAGGTTTTACTACCTTATGTCCTTAATGTTAAGTGATCTTGTTCTTGAATTTGGACAACCATTGTTTCTAACTCTTTGTGCTCCTTTTTGTCTCATGAACCAAGTAATAAGAATAAAATTTGAATAATATTTACTTCTTAAATTTCCAAAGTACAAGACTAGGTAATAATGAAGTCTCCAATGTAATTTAAGTTTGTTTAAAGTTTTATAATATTTCCTCTTGACTTGTAAAAACGATTGGATTTTCTTACAGATTTCCCACAGACCAGATCGTTCCCAGGGGTCGAGGACGAGCCTGACTTCGAAGGACCGATCAACAATGTGACAGTGTCCTTGGGTAGAGAGGCGATCCTTGTGTGTACCACCACAGAGCTGGGGAACTACAGGGTACGTGGGGGGCGAGCTTGGCTCAGGGAAGGACCTAATAGTAGTTTCTAGCCATTGTCCCAGTAAGTGGGTTAGTCTGTAAAAGCGAAAAATGAAACCAATGGTAAACAGAAGTACAGAAAGCAGTAAAGCATATTATTTGTTTTATACTAAGCATTTCCTAAAAGGTTGAAGTTTTATCACATATAATTTAAATACTGAATCAAACAGAGCGAAAATGTTACCAAACATGCTAAACGATGAAACACGGATTAACACTTCAAACTAAATCCTCATAAATGAATCAAATCCACACGTAACTTCAGCTAGAAAGTTAGTAATTGCTTAACTTGTGAAAGACGCCTCTTACTTCCAAAGTGTTGCTTTCGTCAAAAATGGGTGTTATAACGTTCGTGTGGTGAACATTATAATAAGTATTTATTAAAAGAGGAACTACTATAAGGCTGTAACCTATCCAACCCCTAATTGTTATTTGTTATTTATAATCTTGTTTGTGGGTATTTATTGATGAATATATTCCTTTTAACCCGATTATCATGATTTTGATTCGCTAAACAGTACAGTATACTATTGTTCTGAATTTTTCTTATTTAGCACACTCAACTAATAATTTCTATACTGAGCCTATATGTTACGGTCCACGAGGTAAACTTTACAGTGTTATTTTTTTAAGTAGATAAGATAACTTAAAGTGGAATCGTTGATTTCTTGTGAAAAATGGTGAAAATCAGAGACAAAAGTATTCCTAACCGAAGTGTTGGCCTCGATGTAGATGGACATCCTGGTAGGGTAGCAAGTGGATATATGTTCGCCTAACATTCAAAAGGCCAAAGGTTCGACCCTGAGCAAGTAGCTTTATGATGGTTCGATTCTGGATCCAACGTTTCCTGATCATTGGGCTGTAAATAAATGATCCTAGTCAAATAAACAGCTGACCTTAGTCAGTAACTATATTTGGGTTAAAATACACAATTAGGTGGCGTCCCTACCCTAATTATTGATAATTGATAATTTATGACGAATCGAGTGGACAAAGATAAGTAAGGTAGAACCATAGCCAGGAAGATTATATAGGTAATTCAGTTAATTTGTGTTTTTACCAGGAAAGTTTTGGGGTAGTTTTGATTTTTTCCATTTCTTATGTATTTTGGGGTGCTGAATCCGAATCTGAGGTATGCCAACAAAAAATTCTTGACGCAACATTGACAAAAATGAGAAAAATATGGAAAAAATTATATTTCTTGTAATATTTAGCTTATAACTCAAAAACTATCAACTTTTTGTTATTAGTCTATATTATAAAAATTAAAGTACACAAAATTTGCTACAAAATGCACCCCTAATGTGGTGATCTTCGATGAACCGTTTATGCTCCAGAGCTATTTAAAAATTGGAACATTTTGTGTTAGTTTTTAAATTTCTCCAATTATTCTGTCAATGACATATATTCATTGTATATGCCCAGGCAAAGGTCTTATATAAATCCAAAGTGTTAAAATTGATTAATTTTGTGTTACTGAACCGTTGACTTTTTATTTAGTGTACAGAAAAGTTACACGAACTGTTGCCGTTTAAATTATCCTCGCTCAGAGGGTTCTAATGAGGCAGGTTCTGGCAAACGTTTCGATGCACTATTTGTGAGCATTCTAGCTTGTTCATCTGGACAATTAAAAAAAGGTTAAAAGAAAAAAAAATTACACATAATAATAATAAGTGATACCAAAATCAAAACTATCAAAATTAAATAACACCAATCTATTAATCATGTAATACCTTATGCACCTGATGACGTGATATTAAGATATACGTAAATAATAAAATGTTATGTAGGCATATACTGTTGCTAAGCATTTACATTGTGTGTAGATTTGATAGATTGTAGGTCCTAGGGCGTAGGGCATAGGAATACATGAGAGTGGTAAGGGTTAATTGACTTAAGATAGTCAATACAAATTTTGGCTAGAAAACTAAATCCAACGTTGCCTCACTGCCCCCAACTCAAGCAGCTTTATGGGCATAGCTCGCTTAGAGTTTACATTTACATTCGGGTGAATGAATGGGGGTGAAAAAATTAGTATTGGCCTATGGTAACAGTGCCAATCACTCTAAGCCTTGCATCGGTCTTGAAATTTTACACAGACAATTTTATAATGGGTGGGTGCCAATACGATTGAGGATGTACAATGGGCTGTGATGCTAGAGTCTAAGTAAGTAAGAAAGTAAGTATAGTACCAAACGCACATTCCTTTATTTATTAACTTGTTAAATCTACACACAATATAAATGCTTAGCAACAGTATATGCCTACATAACATTTTATTATTTACGTATATCTAAATATCACGTCATCAGGTGCATACGATATTACATATTGATTAATAGATTGGTGTTATTTAATTTTGATAGTTTTGATTTTGGTATCACTTATTATTATGTGTAATTGTTTTACTTTTAACCTTTTTTTAGTTGTCCAGATGAACAAGCTAGAATGCTCACAAATAATACATCGAAACGTTTGCCAGAACCAGCCTCATTACAACCCTCTGAGCGAGGATAATTTAAACGGCAACAGTTCGTGTAACTTTTCTGTACACTAAATAAAAAGTCAACGGTTCAGTAACACAAAATTAATCAATTTTAACACTTTGGATTTATATAAGATCTTTGCCTGGGCATATACAATGAATATATGTCATTGACAGAATAATTGGAAAAATTTAAAAACTAACACAAAATGTTCCAATTTTCAAATAGCTCTGGAGCCTAAACGGTTCATCGGAGATTACCACATTAGGGGTGCATTTTGTAGCAAATTTTGTGTACTTTAAATTTTATAATACAGACTAATAACAAAAAGTTGATAGTTTTTGAGTTATAAGCTAAATATTACAAAAAATATAATTTTTTCCATATTTTTCTCATTTTTGTCAATGTTGCGTCAAGAATTTTTGTTGGCAAACCTCAGATTCGGATTCAGCACCCCAAAATACATAAGAAATGGAAAAATCAAAACTACCCCAAAACTTTCTCGCTATGAGTAAATTTAAATACAAATTTACTGGATTAAGGGTTAAGTATTCTGAAAAATGCCTTACAATTAAACAGCGAAAATATATAAAAATATTGACTTATTTATTCACTCCTAGGTTGGATGGATGAAGGCGGACGACCAGACTATCCTCAGTCTGCACACACGTCTGGTCACTCACAACCCCAGGATCGGTATAACCTACGACCACAACAACTGGGGTCTACACATTAGACAAGTCAAGGCCTCTGACAAGGGCTGCTACATGTGCCAGATCAACACCAGCATCATGAAGAAACAAGTCGGCTGTATAGACGTGCACAGTAAGTTAAACTACAATCACTTCTCTCTCAGGGTCATTTGTATAGGAGTTGATGATTAGCATCACCAGATATTTTGACCAAGTTATCCGATCCTCTGCATCCTCCTCCGACGTTCCAATTATTTTCATTTCCACTTTCACTTGCTTCCACTAACTCTGTTTATATCCTAGGGTCGTCTTCTATCAGGGTTTTAAGACTCCCTAATATCTTTTCAGTTGACCTTCCTCAGACCTTCTCAGTACATTTTCTGTCCATTTAATTCTTCCACGCTTATTTCTTTAATCTTATAACATGCTGTTGCATAGTTCCCTTATCACCCTCACTTATAGGATCAGATACAGTACTTTATTTTCAAATGATTTCTGTGAAAAACTAGATTTAGAAGTTGGTATTAGAATTCGGAAAGATGTATATATATAGCCACAAAAACTACACACAATGTTTTTGAAGGTTAAGTTAGTTATGATCGTAATGATTAACTCTGCTGGACCCTGTTATCATGTACTATTTTTTTACTGGCTTTTTTCGGGCCAAAGCACCCTGGATATCTGTGTCATTGGACTTCTAGGCCTTTACAATAAGAGAACAGACGTTCATAATACCAGTAAATAGGAAATGGAGCCACCTTTTATTGTCTAAGCAAAAAGAAAAGATGGTTTTCCAATTAAGGCTCTCAAGCTTACAATGTTCTCCCAGTACAGTTCAAGGTGCGAACGATGGATTTGAAATTGGACCTAGCACATTTGTCAGGAGAGCGGATTTCATATTCCTTGTTACTATCTGAGGTACGATTTGAAAGAGTTAACCTAAAACTTAGTTAACTCTTCAACACAATAATTGAATTATATTTAATCCACAATATGGCGTATACTATTTTCCGCCAAAAGTTAAACATATATTATTTTAGTAAAATTAAAACTACATAAAAAACATTGTTAATCAAGACCATATGCAATGCTGCAATTTTGACACCCACTAAAAAAATATTTCTCCCTTGTTTTAACATTTCAGCTACATCCAACCTTTCGAAATGGTTATGTATTAAAGGTAATTATTATAGCTTAACTTAAGTTGACTAGAACACCCTCTCATTGCAGTACCTCCGGACATAGAGGATGTTGGGACGTCATCAGATGTTACCGTCCAGGAAGGAGAGAATGCGACTCTCACGTGTAAAGCTAAGGGACATCCTACCCCTAGAATAACTTGGAGGAGGGAGGACAGTGAGCAAATAGTCATCAGGAAAACACCCAAGGAAACATTCAAAGGTATATACATAGTAAAGTAATGTATTTTTTCAAGAGAAAGTTGGTAAACACTATGTTGTTGTAAATATTGATTCAGTTGTAGTCAAGAGGTTAGAGTGCTTACCTTCGTATTTGAAGTTAGACTCCAATTCGGGTGATTCTGGAACAGGTATTAATAGTCAGTTTTTATAAAATTTAGTTAACTCAGTGTATTTGAATACAAAGGTTTGAGGCTAAACTTAACGAATTCGAACAAGAATGGTGTTAAGACAAATATTCTATAATGTTTTATTTCAATTTTAATTTCAAAGAAAGCTATGTCCTGTGCTAAAGAATAAGTATATATAAAGCTTACATGAAGCTAAATGTTTATGAGTAAAATTCTAATTATTTCTAATGTTACACACTAAGTTTGTCGAAGTGGTTTCTCTAAGAGCCAAATTACCATAGTCTTAGTAGTCATACTCCTCGCTAAAACATCCTAAGCAGACATTCAGTGTGCCCTTATGTATCCATTATTACATTTAAACTCCAAAGCAGCACAAAGAGAGATTACAAATTTGCTCTGGTTTCAAGTTTCCGCTATCTGCGTCGCAATCCACAGCCAAAACATACAAAGGGTACTTTGTTGGTAGCTTTAGAATTAGATGATGACTTTGAAGCGCTGGTAAAATTGTATTTGGTGTTAAGCTATAGAAGCCACAATCTCATTTTCAAATGTAACGGACTCAGAAAGTTATCTTGTAATCGTAGTGGTTTGCTAATTAAACAGAGAATGTCAAAAATTATGTGATTCCGAAATGTTGATAAGATTTAGGAATTGGCAGTTTAATGTTTTAGTAAGCGTTACAATTTTTATGGGTTAAAATCGTAGCGAGTTCCCACATTTGGAATTCAAATGAAGCTGTGATTGTAGATATTGGTGTAACCTACTTCAAAAATTCATATATTTAACTCGGTCAAAATGTTTAAAGAACACAACATTAACAAATACTATTACAATTATTCAAATTCTGGTATGTTAGCACACACCTGTTCTAAACTTCATAAAATTGTAAGGACGTTTTCAGAAATGGGAGACCCATAATTAGGACAAGTACTTACAGTAAAATGTACTAACACAAACCTAAATATAAAACATTTGAATAGAGTCTTTGAAGCCTAGACGTTAAAACAAAAAATATAAATTAAAAGTAGGAAGAACATTTCTAATCCCACAGTCCACTATATATTTAAATTACAATCCCTTTTGTATTTAAAAAAAATATTTTTGGATGATTAATAACCCTTCAACAGCTGTTTAAATAATCTAAAATGACAGCTACCCTCAAAGACTCTTAAAATGTGTTCTTTCTGAAACGGGTTGAACGAGAAAATTTCAAAACAATACTTGTGGCTATGTTGTTAATTTTATACCGTTTAAACATGTTGCTTATGGTTTTACTTATGTCTTTCATGCTTTTTCTCACTTATTCATGATTGATATTCATTGTTTATTCAACATTACAGTAGAGTCGTTCAGTGGAGACAGCCTACATCTAGTGAAGCTGGATCGTAAACAGATGGGAGCGTATTTCTGTATCGCCAGCAACGATGTTCCACCAGCTGTCAGCAAGAGAATAACACTAAACGTTAACTGTAAGTGGGATTATAAAATATTTTATTTGATAAATTATCATATAGTATATACTGGGATAATCGTCTAAGGTCTCCAGTATTTAGACGAACTGTTAAACCTGCATTGGTGAAATAAAATAGATTCACACTATTGATGTAGTGCGAGACCCAAGCGAGATGATACACATAACCTCAAAGGTTTTTTTTATAAGAGATGTTCCAAAAATAAGGTATTTTGATAGTTTTTTTTAAATATCAACATACACATCATACTATCACATACATACATACACATCATACTATCACATACTACACATACACATCATACTATCACATACAGTACATACATACACGTCATACTATCGCATACTATACATACACATCATACTATCACATACATACATACACGTCATACTATCACATACTATACATACACATCATACTATCACATACATACATACACATCATACAATCGCATACTATAGATACATATCATACTATCACATACATACATACACGTCATACTATCACATACTATACATACACATCATACTATCACATACGTACATATATACATACATACATACATACATACATACATACATACATACACTTCATACTATCACATACATACATACATACATACATACACGTCATACTATCGCATACTATACATACACATCATACTATCACATACATACATACACATCATACTATCATATACTACACATACACATCATACTATCACATACTCTACATACACATCACACTATCACATACTTTACAGACACATCATACTATCACATACTTTACATACACATCATACTATCACATACATACATACATGTCATACTATCGCATACTATACATACACATCATACTATCACATACATACATACATACACATCATACTATCATATACTACACATACACATCATACTATCACATACTCTACATACACATCATACTATCACATACTTTACATACACATCATACTATCACATACTTTACATACACATCATACTATCACATACTTTACATACAAATCATACTATACAAAGTTTTGAAACCCTATTTATAAAAAAAATTAAGTCAATAAGATTAGAATTATTTCCATTTTTATAGCATAACGGGTTTTTTTTGTGACCATCGTGGTTTATCACTTTTAAATTAAGGCATCTCTACACTGATTAAAATCCAACCCCTGAGATATTCACCCCGTTTAATCCTATGGTTTAGCCTAGACGTTGTAATTATAAAAATCGCTTATTTCATGTGGACTGATTTGCTTATTTACTAACAACTTTCTTTAATTGTGTATGCACTTTAATACAGGAAAACAATTATGTAATAACCAGGTGAATGTTAACTTATAAAAAAATACATAATGCTACGGAAATTAACATTCAACTTTTATTTATAATGTTAGGGCTATACAGCTATATCACAGGTTAAATTATAAAACAATATGTTGTAAGAACTATTAACTAGAAAAATGTCTATTTGAACTAAATTGAGTAAGTAAGTGATGTTTTTATTTATAAAACTCAGAAAGAAAATAGACGCTTAAACGATGAAGAGAAAGATGGTAGTTATTATTCATATCACGCAACCATAATTGTCGATTCTATAATACAATCCTATAAGCCTTTGTCATGATAACAACTTCTTCAGCCCGAATCGTTACTTTTACGTTCATCGTTTTACTTTATATCCAAATGTTTAAGTATTATTTGCATTGCTTTTACGTTTCTATGATAGTTACAAAACACTTTGAACAATAAATTTTTAAATTTAATTCACGTACGATTATATGATTTCACCATAAGTTGTAGGGTTAAGATATCATAAAACTTTTATTATTAAAATAAATTAAAGACACTTTTTCATCGAATTTGTAGTTACAAATAATCACCGATCATTCATTAATTTTATGTATACGTTGTTGTACTAATATACTATGAAATACTAACCGCCCGCCTTTAGTATTACTGATACTTTACTGAGAACTATTTTTATCACATAAAACGACTTCATTTTTATAGCATTTCAGGACCATTTGCAAATAAAAATGATAAATTACCTATTGTCACCTTATGGACGAAATTTCATCCTTGATTAATTAACCTTTTTGTTTGTCATATAAGGCTAGCCAGTAGTGGAGAACTGCCGGTTTTACCTCACTTTAGACACGTTTTTCCCATGTAATTCTTATGGGGATCATTTTTTGGCCACCAATTCCAAAAATCCTGATCTTTGCCCAAATAACCCTATAAAATTGTCAAACCTTATTTCTTAGTTATTCCCTATAAATATATTCGATATTAAGCAAAAAATAAAAAAAAAACTAATTATTTCATTTATTGACCCATGCATGTGTATATGTATAGTAGTATAGTTTGTCGCCGCCGTTTTTTGGGGTGCGGGGTTTTTGGGCTAACTCCCCCCCCCCTCACCCCCTCACCACTCCCCTCTGCCCCATGCACAATTGCTAGTACATCTACCATTCCCCTTTCCAGTTGATATATTATATTTCTATTTCAAAATCATGTATGTGTGTGGTTTGCACGCGAACTCGGTTCATGGCGTGGGCGCGCTCCTGGTCGCGGGCATGCTCCCTTGAACATCCTTAGTGGAAATCCATGAATTCTGGCTACTTGGGAACCCAAGCCATTTGACATACAATAAATTACCTTTTCTCCTAATTACCTTTTCTACTAAATACATGTCTTTATATTTGGTCTTTAACAACTCCTCTGTATAGAAGCCTCCTCTGATTATATTACCATTTTCATCTTTCAAGATATAAGTCACAGGCTTTGTATTCTTAACTTCTGATATTGTAAATAGTTCCCCTGTCCAATTTGGGGTATATCCTTTACTAAACACATGTTTATATTTGGAAATTCTCACGCTATCACCTACCTTATATCTTGGCTTTTTAACTTGCACTACTTTAGAAGTCCTTTCATGCAACCTCTCATGCACATATTTACTGTTCTTAATATTCACTTGGTTAGGCTTCATTCCTATAGATCTATGCACTTTATTATTATATTTTCGAATTAACTTTGGAAGTAAATCCAACCATTTATAACTCCCCTGAACACTAAATTCTCTATATAACCAATTCTTTAAAGTTCTCTGAAACCTCTCCACAATTGCAGCCTTAGTTGTAGAAAATGTGTGATAGTGATTAATATTTAATTTTTTCATTAGCTTGCTAAAATATTGATTAAAAAATTCTTTTCCATTGTCGGATTGAATGTTTTTAACCCCCTTTGGTAGAATGGTTTTAATGGCTTCTGTAACCACCAACCCTGTCTTATTCTTTAGTGGAGCAGCATAAGCTTTTTTAGAAAATGTATCTATTAAAGTTAAAATATATTTATTGCCAGAATTCTCTCTAGCATAGTTTTGCATATCAATTAAATCTATTTGTACAGTTTCGTTTATACCCAATACTTTAAAAGACCTTCTAATGAAATTCTTTCTTGCAGGCTTATGAAGTTCGTATGCAATTTCATTCATTTTTTATAACATCATCCTTTCCTGTAACTCTAAATACATCACCATTAGCCCCAATCAATAGATTATCTTCCATTCTTTTAAATACATAGTTTTCTGGTATATATGGTCTATTATCTATATACTTAAATCCACTCAAAGATGTGGGGTCAGCAACTAATAAATCAGGATTATATTCCATCAAATTAAAAATTTTTTCTCCATATACAAATTTTGATCCATCGTAATGCATAGCTTGTGACATTAGACAAATATCATCCGAATGTTCCCCCTCTGGTAGATTTCTTATAAATTGTTTTTGGCATCCCAACATTTTTCTTTTTTATCAAAAGTTATAGTCTGTTCTTTTATAACACAGTCAGTTTCATCAATGGCAGGTTTAACACGTACTAACCTTTTATTATAAAAACTCCAATAGCCTGCTTCCATTTTTGGAACTTGTGAAACATTCACAGCATCTTTACTATCTGTACCTTCTATCAAATTGCTAAGTTTCTGTTTCTTAGCATTCCAAACACCATTCTCTGATTCTAAAAATTCATAATTATTATCATCTTGTATAAATTTACCATCTTCTTTTCGTATTAAAGTCTGTTGTAAAGTGGGCACATCATCTAAACGCTCACCCTTTTCTACATTAGTAATTTTCCGTTTCTTAGCATTCCAAACACCATTCTCTGATTCTAAAAATTCATAATTTTTATTGTCTTGTACAAATGTACCACCATCTGTTCGTATTAAAGTCTGTTGTAAAGTGGGCACATCATCTAAACTTTCACCCTTTTTCACATTAGTAATTTTCTGTTTTTTAGCATTCCACTTTTTATTCTTAGATTCTAAAAACTCATATTTAGTTTTACCTTGTAAAAAGACATCACCTTTTCTAGTTAATGTCTGTCCTAAAGTTGATACATCATCTACAAACTCCCCATCTTTAACATTACCAATTTTACGGTTTAAACAATTCCAACTATCATCTTGTAAATTTAAAGTAGGTTCACTACTCATGGTTGCCGCCCTGGGTTCTGCGGGCTTATTATATGGATTATATAAACGATAAAATTTATCTATAAACATATTTTTATTTAATAAATAATTCCACTTTCTCTCAATTCCTCAATAATGGAATCTATTTCATTATCCACTCCTGAGTTACCGGCTTGGCGACTTAGCCAAAGAAGTCTTAACCTATCTACAAGCTCATTAGGATCATCCCAATAAATATAGTCTATTTTATTACCAGTCACTTGTCTCAAACCTTCACCAACAGATTTAAATAGAGGTTTGATTATATTAAGATATTTAGTATGTCTATTACTTGAAATTGGTGCACCATCTTTGTAACTCTTTAAATGTCCATTTGTAGCTTCCAAAATTTCTTTATAATTTTGCAAATCAGCCTGAGTATAGTTCTCAGGTTCTTTTAACGTTAACAATTCCCATAAACCTTTTGTCCCCTTGTAGGTTTTATTTGCAACTGTAACATCATCATT